TACCGCTCAAACGCCCACGATGTTGTGGAGGGGACATATGCTGATGATCCTGGCCCGATTGGTTCGCTCAGAAAGCTTCTGGGCGGTCGTTAAGGTTCGCTCCCCGCACACCGGCCCGGAAGTATGGTACCCTAGACTGGTAGCGTGGTTTGACCTCACACCCATGGTCTCACAGTGTGCCGGCAGTCGCCGAGCAGTGTCGCTCACACAAGCCGCAGCACAAGTGACTGAGGGCCAGTGAGGGCGAGCCCATCGCTGTCACAGCTGTGGCAGCCGCACAGTAGGCTGTGTCAACTGTGCAGAGTGTGTGAGCAGCAGAGGAGCTGCTCTCCAGGCTTCTGTCGCAAAGAGCTGCATGCCACCGAAAGCGCTGTCGAGGTTCGCCGAGCGCGGCGAAATCCGGGGACGCCGTCACCGACGAGCGCGTTGGAGTATTCACTCCGGACAAAGACGGGCACACAGCGGACGGTGCGGGGCGTGTGCCCGTCATAGCGGCGAGGCGCGGGACCGTCCGTGGCGAAGTGGGTCGCGTCCCCGGATTTCCGTCAACCCACCCTCTACCGTACCTAGGAGGTGTGGCTGTATGGGGGTGTGGGGGAGTGTCACGGAGGCGGCCATTGGCGCGCGCTCCTTGTCTACGTGGGTCGAGTTTTTTTCCTTAACCTTACCTTACGTCGCGGACTCGTGGCGTCACCCCAGCCACCTCCTCCTCCAGCCACCGTACAAGTACCTTCACCTCGGCCGACCCCATGCGCGTGGCTGTGGGCGGGGCGTGCTGCACGAGGCGCGCCCACCGGACGCGGTCGATGAGGGCGTCCACCTCGCTCGCGTTGGCGTCGCGGTCGCGCGTCGGCGTGTGCAGCAGCGCGGGCCGCGGCGCGATGGCGCGGAGCAGCTCGTCGAAGTCATACGGCACGCGATGCGGCTCGCGCTCAAAGAAGCCGAGCCGCGGCAGCAGCGCGTGCGTCTCGAAGAGGCGGCGCAACCCTCCGGTCGGGCGGCCGACAAGGTCGGTGCGCCTAGCAAGAAGGGCGAGACGAAGCTCGCGCTGGAGGAAAAGCACCAAAGGCGGCCGACAAGGTCGGTGCGCATGGGAGTGAAGGCAGCGAAGGCAGCCACGGCGGACACGCGAGGGTCGAGGGCGGCCGCATGCAGCGCGACGTTCCCGCCGAGGGAGTAGCCTAGCGGTGTGAACACACCGAGGGAGTAGCCTAGCGGTGTGAACAGCGTCTCTTGACACCTCCCGCCGAGGGAGTAGCCTAGCGGGGGTGTGGACACGGCATCGCGCCGTAGATTCGGGGGCGTGGATGCGGGGGCAGCGAACACACACACGGAATACGGCTAGTGTGCGCCAGCCTCTCGAGTGCTGGTTTAGACCGCCGAGAGTGCTGCATACGCCAACCTCGGGGCGGTGTTGTGCAGAGTCTTGAGAGGGCACCGCGTGAATACGAGGGACACGAACACAGGGAAGGCAGCGGGCATACGGCGGAATACAGCTGAATGATGGGCCCTTGCCCCTCTGGGGGAGAGAGAGAGAGAGAGAGAGGGAGAGAGAGAGAGAGAGAGAGAGAGAGATAGAGAGAGAGAGAGAGATAGAGAGATAGACAGAGACGTG